TAGGTCGGCAGTTTGAAACTACCAGTGGTTTCATGGGAGAAAGATGAGGCGTTCTGCTCCTGTGAAGATTTATAGCCTTGGAAACCCTGTGCAGGGTCCTATGAATCAGAACCAACTCCACAGTACTTAACAACAGCAACAACAATCATCATTTATATTGTTTTAAAAAGGTATTTGCAATGAAGAAGTCATTGGTTTTGCAAAATTCTATCATGTAATCTCCAGCATCATTTCTATCACCAAGGTCATACTTTTACTGACCCTTCCTCTTTGTTTCCAACCTTTGCTTTTCAATCACCAGTAATTATCAAAATATCTTGATGGCATGTTTGATTAATTTCAGACTGAAGAAATTAGTAGAATTCTTCAGTTTCAGCACCACTGGCTTTAGTGGTTGGTTCATAAATTTGAATAATAGTGGTATTAACTGGTTTTCCTTGTTATTGTTAAGTGCTGTCGAGTGGGTTCCAACTCATAGCCTCTCAGTAAGTGTTTCTGAGGAGCAGCTGGTGGGTTTGAACTGCTGACCTGGTGGTTCACAGTCCGGGCCTGATCCTACAGCACCACACTAGGAGTCTGGTTTTCCTTGTAGACGTATGGATATTATTGTATCACAGACAAGATTATACTTCAAATTGATATGCAAGTGATGGACTTGGCTGGATAGTTCTACCTAATGAAGTTGCAGTCAGATTTCAACTAAGGCTACATCCATACGAATGCTGATCACCTTGAACTTCTATTGAAAATAAATCAAACCAGTTACCATCCTGTCAATTCCAATTAATAGCAACCCTATGTGTTGCAGAGTAGCAGTGCACTTCAGATGTTTGTCATTGCCCGCATAGTAAACCATGTGATTGTCATATTCAAAATGGCCAATGGCAGTCCATTTCAGCTCACTAATGCTTAAGATATTAATGTTTATGCATTCCTTTTCATTTTTGATAACTTCCAATTTTCCTAGATTCATACTTCATATATTTCATCTTCTAATAATTCATGGATATTTGCAGACATTTCTTCTCATTTTGAGTTATACCCCATCAGCAAATGAAGGTTCCAAAAACTTTACTACATTTGTGTCATCATGGTCAACTCTACTTTGAGAAAGCAGTTAACTTTTCCCCAGTATATTTTAAGAGCCTCCAACCTGAAGGGCTCCCCTTCCGGCACTGTGTCTGATGGTGCTGTTGTTGCTAAGCGCTGTTAGAAGGTATCTTGGATAAGGTTTCCAAGGAGTGGCTGGTGAGTTTGTGGTTCGAGCTGACCTTGCCGTCCACTGCTTTATCCTTGGACGCCAAACCAGGACTCCATATCTGACAATATTCATCGTGTTCCAATAGTCAATATTCTGGCACTGACATGGCAAGACTCATCCAACTGCCTCTTTTATATATTTTGTTGGGGTTTGGTTTAAAAATTTGTTAGACTGGGCCATGATTAGATTTCACTGTAAGCCTAAGGTCCTTACTGTGATTGATAAGGCCTTTCTGGTGTCACTGCTAGATATCAGGGATAGGGGCACATGGTAATGAGCTCTTTCCCTAGTAGGGCTGGATTTCCCAATTTCGCTGACATTGCTCTTTTCTATAGCTTTTAACTTCTACTGCTCTGTTATCGTCTCAACTTTATAGTAATTGAAGTTTGTTAGTTATTGCCTAAGTTCTCACATGGATAGCACAGGGCACTTTTAGTTAAGTATTGTTAATCTTACATCACAAATAAATACCATTGGTTTAAAAAGACCTGCCCCCATAGGAGGTACATTTTGTTGTAATTGTTATTTGATTTTTTCCCTTCATATATCTGCGATGATCCCAAAGGTCTGAAAAGGATTTTTGACTGTATGTTTTAATTTCATCATTTTCACCCAGGAAATCATCTGATTCAAATCATCTGCAATCAAAATTCATCTAGAATAATTTGCTGTTGTTAAGCACCACCAAGTCAGTTCTGACTCAGAGTGACCCTGTATAGGGTTTCTAAGGAGTGTCTGGTGGGTTTGAACAGCCAACCATGTGGTTTACAGACAACTATTTGGCCGACTGATTTGAAGAGATACATATTTGTGCCCATTCCAAAGAGAATGTGGAAATCATCAGACAATCTCTTTGATCTCCCATGTGAGCAAAGTTTTACTAAAAGTAATACAGAAACGGCTACAAGCATACATTGACAGAGAACTTTCAGAGGTTCAAGCTGGATTCAGAAGAGGCCATGGAACGAGGGATAGGTATCATTGCTGATGTCCAATGGATCTTGGCTGAAAGCAGAGAATATCAGGAAGATGTTTACCTGTGCTTTATTGACTACACAAAGGCTTTCAATTGTGTGGCTCATGACAAGCTATGGACAACATTGCAAAGTATGAATATTCTGGAACACTTCATTGTGCTCATGAGGAATCTGTACCTGGACCAAGAGGCAGTTGTTTGAATAGAACATAGGAACACTGAATATTTTAAAATTAAGAAAGGTGTGCAACAAGGTTGTATTCTTTCACCATACTTATTCAACCTGTATGCTGAGCAAATAATCTGAGAAGCTGGGTTATATGAAGAAAAATGTGGCATCAGGATTGGAGGAACACACATTAACAACCTGCAATATGCAGATGATATAACCTTGCTTGATGAAAGTGAAGAAGACTTAAAAGATTTACTGATGAAGATCAAAGAGCACAGCCTTCAGTATGGATTGCATCTCAATGTAAAGAAAATAAATATCCTCACAACTGGACCAATAAATAATCAACAGAGAAAAGACTGAAGTTGTCAAGGACTTCATTCTTCTTGGATCAATTATCAACACTCATGGAAGCAGCAATGAAGAAATCAAATGACGTTATTACATTAGGCAAATTTGCTGCACAAGACCTTTTTAAAATGTTGAAGAGCAAAGATGTCAGCTTGAGGACTGAGGTGAGCCTGACCCAAGCATTTTCAATAACCTCATATGCATGCGAAAGCTGGACAGTGAATAAGGAAGACCACAGAAGAATTGATGCATTTGAGTTATGGTGTTGGAGGAGAATATTGAAAGGGCCATGGGTTGCCCATAGAACCAACAGATCTGTGTTGGAAGAAGTACATCCAGAGAGCTCCTTGGAGGCCATGATGGCCAAACTTTGTCTCTCATACTTTGGACATATTGTCAGAAAGGACCAATTGCTGGAGAAGGATATCATGTTTGGTAGGGTAGGGGGTCAAAGAAAAAGAGGAAGAACCCAGTGAGATGGATTGGCAAAGTGGGCTCAAGCGTGGCAACGATAGTGAGGTTGGCCCAGGATTAGGCAGTGTTTCGTTCTGTTGTGCATAAGGTCTCTATGAGTTTGTACCTAACAACAACAATAACAATTTATCCTATAGTGCTACACCAAGACTTTATATTATATATTCTGGTTAAGTTCACCAACACAAATTCGTAGACCATTCATATAACTATATAATTTTTTTCTGATCTACAGAATAATGAAATTACCATACGTACTGTATATTGAACATTTATTGGAACTTTTCTACTTCTTTTAAACATTATAGTAACTCTCTGAGAATGATTTTTCAATTCCCATTTACAAAGATACTAAAGATTATTGGTAGTCACTGTCAAGTTGGCCCCTTCCTCATGGCAACCTAATGCACAACAGGATCAGATCATTGTAATCAACTGGCTGAAGTAGATCACCAGACCTTTATTTCCTAGTCATCTTAGTATGGAAGCTGCACTGGAACTTCCTCAGTATCATAGCAACATGCAAGCAAGCCTCTGCTTGAGGTGTTTTGGCCAGGAATTAAATTTGAGTCTCCTGCCTGGGAGGCAAGAATTCAGCCACTGCACTACTATTGTTCCCTTAGATTGGTCATATTTCTTTACAATGGCCTTCAGTAAAACACTCTGAAATACTTGTCTTTCTCTAAATGTGTCATTAAACCAAACCAAACTAGTTGCTGTCCACATGATTCTGACTCCTGGCCAGCCTAAGTGTGTCAGAGTAGAATTTTGGTCATTCTTCCAAGACATTTTTTGGTGAGTTTTAACTTCCAACCTTTTAGTTAGTAGCAGAGTGCTTAACTGTTTGGAACACCTAGGAACTGTGTTTAGTTTGTCTGTACACTTTATTATGTTATCTCTTATTATGTTATCTCTTTTGTAAACTTACTTTCACTCCTTTGGACTTCAAGTTTTCTTTAGTTTTTACTTTATGTAGCTAAGTAATTTTAAATCATATCTGAAGATGCAATTCCTAAATAGTCCGTTTAATCAACTATGTACTCCAGGTCTTGGTGGTGGTGGTTATGTGCCGTGGGGTCGGTTCCGACTCATAGCACAACCCTGCACAGGGTTCCCGAGGCTGTAAATCTTTACCCGAGCAGAAAACCTCACCTTTCTCCTGCGGAACAGCTGGTAGTTTTGAACTGCTGACCTTAAGGTTCGCAGCCCGATTTGTAACCACTACGCTACCAGGGTTCCTTACTCCAGGTCTTCGATATTGGTGAAGGAAAATTTGTTATGTGCATTAAAAAGTTATGTTAAAATACAGTATAATTTCTCCCCCTAAAAAAAAAAATCAGTATGCTTTTGTGGTAAGAGTAGCATCCTCAGCTGCCTTTGGGTAAGCCTGGGGCCTTAACTTAAAAAAAACACTTCACACACACAAAAGAACGTGGTGGGGCTTCAATGCAGCCCTCCTGAATTTGTTCTGAATAAGATTCCGATTTTCAGAACGAGATCGGAACAACGCCGAGCGACTTGGGACTTAAAGACCCACACGTTACACCGCCACATACTCCACTGGACGTTTCCGTAGAGAAACTGCGCAACAATACGACGCTGAAAGCCTATAACCCGGGTAAACTAATCACTGGAAATCAGACTTTTTGGGATGGCAAAACTGAGGCGGGCGGGGGGCGAGAGGGGAGCAACGTGATGACGTCATGCAGCTTCCCCTCTCCATCTCGCCCTCTTCGCACTGTGACGTTCCTAGAGAGGAACGAAGCGTAAACAGCGCAGGGCATTTCGGGAGCGGGATTGTTTCGTGCAGGAAGCAGGCTCCATTTTAGCGCCGCCCGCTGTCGCCATCTGTTCCCTTCCCTCCCCTTTCCCCCTCCCGTCCCCAAGCCCCATAGGGAAGGCTGCGTGTAGGCCGCAGGAACCTGGAGTCAGAGGAGAGAAGGGGAAAAGGGAGAAAAAGGGTGGATCGAGAAGAGTGAGTGGTAGAGGCCAAGGTACGAAGCGCGCGGCTCGGTGGACGGACTGACGGACGGGCCCGTGCTGCTGCTGCCGCGGCCGCGGCGCCCGCGCGAGTCGCGTCGAAGCGGCGGCGGCGGTAGCGGAAACAGGAGGGGCGCAATGGCGGCCGACAGCCGGGAGGAGAAAGGTAAGTGCGGAGCTAGGTGATGGACGGAGGCGGGCTACGGAGTGGGCCGGTGGGGCCTAGGCTGTTGCGGGGTGGGGGCTGGGTGGTTAGCCTGCCTCGCGTGGAGCCGGTTTCCGCTCCCAGACACTTGAATATATTGGAAAAGACCAGGTCTGCACTTTCATCGTCGGCCTCCGTTGACCTAACATTCCAGTTTTCTTGGATCCAGATTTTTTTCGTTATGGTTAGCTGCTCTGGGCGCGGCTGAAAGAAAATTTGCGGGCCTGCTGTGAGTTTCAGGCCCCTGGTGCTTATTTCCTGTAGGAGTATGCGCATGTAATGCGCAGATTCAGAACAACACTTTGTTAGACTACATTTAGAAAACCCCGAATGCCACAATCAAACCTAGCAATCTAGTAACTGAGCGTGATTAAAGTGGTCGTGCAAGTGGATTATTAGCCCTGGGAAGCTTCTGGAGCGAACTTCTGGCTGTACCTGTTAAGTAAGCAGAAGGATAAGAATTGTTCATTTTATTCCTCGAATACTTAATTTAGAAAATAGGAATTTTGAAAAGAAAATTAGGATTTAGGTTTGGTAAAGAAATCCTTGGTATTATTCTGTTAGAAACATTGTGCGTAAATCCGAGAGAGATCACAACCAGGAACAAATGGGTGGAAGTTATGGAGAATTCGGGAGGATACATTTCCATTGAAATAAAAAAGAACTATAGAAGTATACAAAGAAATATCTTTGGCTACATCGAACTCCCTGGCCTGGGAGGTGTTAATGTAGATCCTGCATCTTTACTTATTTGGAGAGGGGTCTGTTTAAAGATAGGAACTTGAAGGGCTCTTCCAACTTTTAAAATTGCCATGATAGTCTTGGAAAAGTTATGATTGATGAAAATGTGGCACAGCTGCTGATATGTATTTACTGTGTGACTAATTATTTTGGGTGGGAGCTTTAAAAAATAGATTCTAGTCGTGTTGTACAGTAGTGAGGCCTGTTCTCTCCAATTTTCCCTCTGTCAGTCTGGAGAGTCTTATTGTTTCAGGGATCATGTACTTTTAAAAAGCAAAGGGTTCCTAAGTGCAGTTTTATACCCTTCCTTTTTCCCAGGTTGTCCAAGATAGGTTAGTTATTTACCCACATTTAATCTGTTTTTCCATCTGCAGCACTATTTCACGCCTTGAATTTAGTTTTTGTGTGTGTGTTTTGTTTTTCGTTTTGTCTGTAGGGTCAAAACAAACACAGACTCACCCTCCAAATCATATCAGATTATCTAAGTGGCCCATTTGTTGTTAAGTGCAGTCAAGTCGATTCTGACCCATAGTGACCCTGTAATAGGGATTTTGAGGAGAGGCTGGTGAGCTGGAACCGCAAACCTTGCGGTTCAAAGCGACTTTGCAGTCCGGCGCATTAACCCACAGTGTTGCACAATGTTGTTGTTGTTGTTAAGTGGAGCAGCAGGTAAGCTTGAACCACTGACCTTGCAGTTCAAACGGCTTTGCAGTCTAGCACATTAACGCACAGCGCCACACCATATACCATGGATTTGAGGAGTCCTGGTGTAGCGCCACGGGATAATGCGCTTCGCTGCAAGGTCTGTTTGAATCGCCCCATCAGCGGTTCAAGCACTCCAGCTTCTCATCGGAAATCCAATAAATGTGTCAGAACCACAACAGTAACATCATGAATTAGCAGTTAAAACTTTATTTTCCTATTTGAAATGTACCATGAGGTTCACCTTATTTTTTGTCTTGTTTTCCTGGAATCAAGTTCTGCAGTCAAATTCCTTAAAAGGTTTTATGAATTATCTTGTCTCCAGTGTTCTCTCCGTCTCTTCATTATATTAATTACCCTGTTGTCTATTCACGTGGAGTCTGGTATGGCACTGGACTGCAAGTTGGTTTGAACCGTTAGGTTGGCAGATCAAACTCTGCTTGGAAACACTATACAGGGTTGCTGTGAGTTGGAACCGATTCTGTGACACTTAAAGGCAACATCTGTTGAATTCCGACTGCAAATCTTTGCCTGATAGCATTAGGCCACAAGGTCTGTTTGAACCAGCCACCCCTCGGAAACGCCTGTGCAGGGTTGTTATAAGTAGAACTGACTCGACAGCACTAAACAACAGCCACAACAACGTCGTTCCTCTAGGAAGCAGCTGCTGAGTTTAAGTCACTGGTCACGCTATTAGCAGCCAACACGTGTTAAGTGCCTTCCAATCAGTTCCAACTAATAGCGACTGTATAGGGTTTCCGAGGAGCAGCCGATGGGTATGAACCACCAACCTTACCTTATCCTAAGTTTAGTGCTTATCCTACAGTGTCACACCAGGTCTTTAACACATACTTGTTGTTGTTAATGCTTTCAAGTGGGTTCTGAGTCATAGCAACTATGTATAGAATTTCCAAGGAGACCACCGACCTTCTGGTTCAAACTGACCTTATGGTCTAGTGCTTTCCCTACAGTGCCACACCAGGACTCCCCAACACATACTAGGAAAAGAATAAAAATAAATTCTAAATTGGACATTCAAAATAGAACAGTAAAGTGTTTCATCAGAATTGGTTCTCATTAAAATGAAATGTCTGCCTATCTATAAATATTCTTATAGATTTTTTTGTTAAGTGCTGTCATTGTTATTGACATTGTTATTGTCAATGTTATTGTTGTTATGTGCCATGGAGTGGGTCCGACTCATAGCGACCCTGTACAGGGTTTCTGAGGCTGTACATCTTTACGGGAGCAGAAAGCCTCATCTTTCTCCTGTGGAACAGCCGGTAGTTTCGAACTGCTGACCGTGAGGCTCGAAGCCCAATTCATAACCACTACACTACCAGAGCTCCTTATATATACATATATATATACATATAATATATATACATATACATTATATAAGCATATTATATATATATATATACATGTTATATATGTATATATACATACATGCATTATATGTATATA